ATCAGAACATTCTGCAAAACTGTGGAAAACGATGGAAAACGCTTGAAAGCACTTTCAAATGTCAAATAAATGTAGAAAACAGCAAAGTAATAAACTACGAAAGAGAAAATGAAAATATTCTGCAAAATTGCAAAAATGCTGGAATGGCCTTGAAACCTGTTGCAGATCTCAAGAACATGCATAACACAGCCAGATAAGCAACTCTGAAACAGAAAATCAGAACTTTCAGCAAAATGATGGAAACTGCTGTCAAGAACAGGCGCAACTCAGCAAGATCAGCAACTTTCAAACAGAAAATTAGCACTTCCAGTAAAATGATTGAAAATGCTGGAAGAATCTTGAAACCAATTGTGGATCTAAAAACCATACATAACATAGCAAGGTAAGGAACTTTGAAACACAAAATCAGAACCTTTTGTTAAAGTGCAGAAATTACTTCAAAACAGTTGTAAATCTCAAGGAAATATATATCAGGACAGCAGTATAAGCAACTATGGAAGTGAAAAACAAAATCCTGCAAAACTGCAGAAAACGTGAGATTGTCTTTAGGACCAGATATACATCTCTGGACCATGCACAACACAGCAATATAAGCAACTTTGAAAGAGAAAATCAGAACTTTCAGCAAAATGATTGATACTGATTTAAGAAAATTGAAACCAATTCTAGGTCTCAAGATCAAGCATAACACAACTTAAAACCACAACTTAAAACACTGAAAACACAAAGCGAAAAACTTCCACAAAATTACAGTAAATCCTGTAAGATGCTTGAAAGCCTTGGAAAATGTCAAGTACAGGCAGAACACAGCGAGATAAGCAACTTTGAAGCACAAAATTAGAACCTTCTGCAAATTGCAGAAAATGATGGAATGCTTTAAAGTGCTGGAAAATGTCAAGTAAATGCACACAACAGCAAAAAAATAAACTATGAAAGAGGAAATGAAAACATTCCGCAAAATTGCAGAAATGCTAGAATGTCCTTGAAACGAGCTGTAGATCTCAAGAACATGCATAATACAGCCAGATAAACAACTTCGAAACACAAAATCAGGACCTTGCACAAAATTGTGGAAAATGCTGGAAGATGCTTGACAGCAGCTGTAGATCTCAAGAACATGCATAACACCACAATGTTAGCAACTTCAAAACAGAAAATTTGAACTCTTTGCAAAATTGTGGAAATGCTGTAACGTCCTTGAAAGCAGTTGTAGATCTCAAGAACATCCAGAACAGAGCCGGACAAGAAACTTTGGTAAAAACTCAGAATCATCTGCAGAATTATGGAAAATGCAACTAGGGACAGATAAGCGCCCCTTCATGTTCGATGAGATTGTCTATGTGTGTAACCACAGGAGACAATCATCTACAGCCACAGTTGAACTGCCAGAGGACTGGATGGTTGCTTTACTTAAGAAAAGCTGTAAGCAGAGCCTGGAAACTATAAATTGGTGAGACTGACATCAGTCGTGGATAAGTTGTTGGAAGGGATTCTGAAAGATAGTATTTACATGTACTTGGAGAGACAAGGACTGCTTATGAATGGTCAACATGGCTTTGTGCATGGGAAATCATGTCTCGGAAATATGATTGAGATTTTTGAGGATATAACCAAAAAGACAGATAAGGGCAGAGCAGTAGATGTTGTCTATATGGAATTTAATAAAACCTTTGACAAGGTTCCGCATGGTAGACTGATTAGTAAAGTTAGATCATATGGGATTCAGGGAAAGTTTGCCAATTGGATACAAAATTGACCTGATGGTAAGAGATACAGGGTGGTGCTGGAGTATTGATTTTTGGACTGGAGGCTTGTGACAAGCAGTGTTCCGGAAGGATCGGTGTTGCATCCACTTTTGTTTGTCATTTATATAAATGATTTGGATGACAATTTAGGAGACATGGTTAGTACATTTGCAAGTGACACCAAAATTTGTGGTATAGTGGACAGTGAGAAAGGTTATCTAAGATTACAAAGGGATTTTTATCAATTGTGCCAATGGGCTGATGAGTGGCGGGTGGAGATTAATTTGGATAAATGCAGGGTATTGCATCCTGGTAAACAAACAAGAGCAGGACTTATACAGTTAACGGTAGGGCCCTAGGTAGTGTTGTTGAATAGGGAGACCTAGGGGTTCAGTTACATAATTCTTTGAAAGTTGTGTCACAGATAGACAAGGTGGTTAAGAAACAATTGATCATCTAAATTTAGGAGTTATGATGTCATATTAAGGTTGTACAGGATGTTGGTGAGGCTATTTCTGGAGTACTGTGTATTGTTCTGGTCACCCTTCTACAGGAAGGATATTATTAAATTTAAGAAGGCTCAGAAAAGATTTAACAGGATGTTGCCAGGATTAGAGGGTTTCAGTTATAAGGAGAAGCCGAATTAGCTGGTAGTTCTTTCACTAAAGCGTAGGAGGTTGAGGGGTGACCTTACAGAGGTTTATAAAATCATGAGTAACATATATAAGGTGAATAGCAAAGGTCTTTTCCCTAGGGTGGGGGAGTTCAAAACTAGGTGGTATATTTTGAGAGGAGAAAGATTTTAAAGGAATCTGAAGGAAAACGTTTCATACAGTGGGTTGTTTGTATGTGGAATGAACTGCCCGAGATAGAAGCAGGTACAGTTACAACATTCAAAAGACTATTGGGCAGTGACATATATAGAAAAGGTTTAGAGGGATATGGGCCAAATGCAGGCAAGTGGGTTAGTTTAGTTTGAGATACTTGGTCAGCACAGACAGGATGGACCAAAGGGTCTGTTTCCATTCCGTATGACTCTATGACTCTTATTATGCACAAAACTCTCAGAGTTGGGTGCCATAGAGACATGATGCATAGCTGATAGGGCGAACTGTGGAGAATAGGGTGAGAAAACTCACTAGAGCTCTAGAACACATGAAACTCTCCAAGATGGCCACTTTGCCAATTTTGGTAAAATTGTTGGGAGATTATAAAATGGCATGTTTTTTTTTAAATTTTACTTTTCCCTTGTCTCTTGGTTCTGTTTCTGAATCCAATCTTTCTTTTCCCCTTTTATTTCCCTTGTTGTTCCTCAGTTGACATTGAATTCACCCACTCTGATTGTGTCAGTCTTTGTTCTCTTAATGTGTTAATATTGCAATTTTTCTATTCGCTTGATTAAGGAGCGAAACTGGTCACTCAGATGCCACGTCCCAAAGTTGACAGCTTGCGCTTTTGTTCACTTTGCAAGCAAAAATTTATTTACAATTTTGTTTTTTTGGATACAAAACTGGTTGTCCAATAGAAGACAGAGGGTGGTAGTAATTGGAAAGCATTCAGTCTGGAGCTCAGTGACCAGTGGTGTTCCGCAGGGATCTGTTCTGGGACCTCTGATCTTTGTGATCTTTATAAAAGACTTGGATGAGGAAGTGGAAGGGTGGGTTAGTAAGTTTGCTGATGACACGAAGGTTGGTGGAGTTGTGGACCGCGTGGAGGGACATTGACAGGATGCAGAGCTGGGCAAAGAAGTGGCAGATGTTATTCAACCCAGAAAAGTGTGAGTGATTCATTCTGGAAGGTTGAATTTGAATGCAGAATACAGGGTTAATGGCAGGATTCTCGGCAGTGTGGAAGAACAGAGGGATCTTGGGGTCCACGTCCATAGATCCCTCAAAGTTGCTACCCAAGTTGATAGGGTTGTAAAGAAGGTGTATGGTGTGTTGGCCTTCATTGGAAGGGGAATTGAATTTAAGAGCCGTGAGGTTATGCTGCAGCTCTATAAAACTCTGGTTAGACCACACTTGGAATATTGTGTGCAGTTCTGGTCACCTCATTACAGGAAAGATGTGGAAGCTTTAGAGAGGGTGCAGAGGAGATTTACCAGGATGCTGCCTGGTCTGGAGGGCAGGTCTTATGAGGAAAGGTTGAGGGAGCTAGGGCTTTTTTCATTGGAGCAAAGAAGGATGAGAGGTGACTTGATAGAGGTTTACAAGATGATGAGAGGCATAGATAGAGTGGATAGTCAGAGACTTTTTCCCAGGGCGGAAATGACTATTACGAGGAGGCATAATTTTAAGGTGATTGGAGGAAGGTATAGGGGAGATGTCAGAGGTAGGTTCTTTACACAAAGAGTGGTGGGTGCGTGGAATGGGCTGCCGGCAGTGGTAGTGGAGTCAGAAACATCAGAAACATTTAAGCGACTCTTGGATAGGCACATGGAGGATAGTAAAATGTAGGGTATGCAGGGTAGATTGATCTTAGTAGGATAATAGGTTGGCACAACATTGTGGGCTGAAGGGCCTGTACTGTGCTGGACTGTTCTATGTTCTATGTTTTAATATGCATGGCACATCTGGTGAATGCTAGATACCTTTCTATGCTTTGCCACATTGTACCCTGGTCAGTGATAACCCACAGGAAGCAGGTTTCCTTCAAAATTTCTTTTTTGCCTTCTTAGTATGTAGATTTGCAAAGATAATAACAAAAATCATTTTAATTTTAAAAGGGTTGTTTTGAAGGAAAGAGACTTTTAAGACTAAATTTGGCTTAATGCATTATGCTTCATACTTGGTGGACTACAGTAATGTGGCATATGAAGTGCATGTACATGTCATGATTCAAACAAAAGCATTCCTTATACTGCACAGTATTTTTAACTTCAGATTGATAGTTCTAAGCATAAACACATTTATTGTTCTGGTCTAATGCACTGACTACAGTTTTAACTACAGATTTCCTTAAAATTACAATTACAAATAAATATAAAACACTACATCAGTAAAAAAACGTACATGTTAAAAGCAGGAAAAAAAAATCACAAGAAATAGACAAGTAAACCAGAAGTTAAATAGTTATCTGCTGAGAAATTCTTTTATTTGATAAAGTAATCTTGTAAAGTTTTCTTCAGATATAAAAAAATGAACTATGAATTTTTGGAAAAGCGGTCCATAACCTAAGCTGGTTTGCTTTTAAAGATTACCGTTGAAGTATATACCTAATACAGGTATTATGGTAACACAGCTTTATTCAGGTTTCTTTTTCACATGGCTACAACTCAGGAAATCTATGTTCGATGAGAAGACTGTTTCTTGGCAAAAAGGATTGACAAGAACCATTCCAGTGTCTACATAATCACCATTCAGAGGGGACTGAGGTTCAGATAGATGGTCCTAAAAAAAAGACAACCATTTCCAAATTAGATATCCCTATGCATCATTCCAAATTATGCAGTATTTAAATACTATGATATTATCATATATAAAATATATAAAATCATTTATGAAGTGAAACATTTTGTGAGGAAGTCATGGAATGTTTTAGGGGATGTGATTCTTGCCTGCATAGTGGGGGAAGTAGTTTTAGAATATAGAACATTCAATGAATCATATTCCCTAAAATATTCCATGATTTCCTCTCAAATCGTTTCATTTTATGAAGCACACAAAAAGGTAATTCAACCCAGCTAGTATTAGCTTTTACATGACCCAGAGCAATATTGTTGTCTCTTAAATGTCACCTGAAATGGGCTTGTAAGTCATTCAGTTGTAAATAACTACTACAAATTGGAAAAGAAATGAAACCAGACAGATCACACAGCATTGACCTTGGCACCGGAAATGACAAAGGCAAGCCCTGCCCTTTAAGCCCTGCAAAATCCTCCTTACTAGTGCCAAAATTTGGAGAGCAGTACCATAGAGTAGTCAAGCATCAGCCTACCATTATCACACTCATGGAGTCATATCTTACAGACAATATCTTAGACACCACCATCACTATGGATATACATATACAGTCAGGAAGGAGTTGCCTTGGGAGTCCTGAACATTCATTTTGGACCCCATATATTCTTTTGGCATCAGGTCAAACATAGCCAAGGAAATTTCCTGCAAGCCTGGCTGATAAATCTGTACTCCTCCATTTGAACACTAATGGATGAAAGTGCTGAGGGCAGTAAGGCCTTAGAACATGATCTGGTGGGAGACTTCAACGTCCATCATCAGGAGTGACTCAGAAGCATCATTAGTATTTGAACTGGCTGTGTCCTACAGAACAAAACTGCTAAACTGTGTATGAGACAGGTGACCAGAGAATCAATAAAAGGAACGTAGAACATAGAACAGTACCGCACAGTACAGACCCTTCGGCCCACGATGTTGTGCCAACCTATTATCCTACTAAGATCAAACTACACTACATAGCCTACATTTTACTATCCTCCATGTGCCTGTCCAAGAGTTGCTTAAAAGTCGCAAAAGTATCTGACTCCACTACCACTGCCGGCAGCGCATTCCACACGCCCACCACTCTTGATCTTATCTTCATCAATCTACTTGTTGCAGACGTGTCTGTCCTTGACAGTTTTGGTTGAATTGACCAACACACAGTCACTATGAAGACAAAGTTCCCTCTTCATGTTAAGGATCTTCTCTATCAGTCTGGCACTACCACCATGCTAAATGGGATAGAATTTAAACAAATCAAGCAACTCAGAGCAGGGCATCCATGAAGCATGAATTAACCCCTATTCTACCATTCCATAAAGCCAAATAATCAACCCTGGAGCTGTGAAGAGGGCATGCCAGAAGCAACACTGGCATATATAAAAATGAAGTGTAAACCTGGTGAAGCTAATATGCAGAACTATTTGGTATGCCAAACAGAGGAAGTAGTTTGCATTAGACAGGGATAAAGAACAAAGAACAAAGAAAATTACAGCACAGGAACAGGTCCTTTGGCCCTCCAAGCCTGCACTGACATGTTGCCCATCCAAATTAAAACCCACTACCCTTCCGGGGACCATATCCATCTTTGCCCATCCTATTCATGTATTTGTCAAGACGCCTTTTAAAAGTCATTATTGTACCTGCTTCAACTATCTCCCCCGGCAGCGAGTTCCAGGCACTCACCATCCTCTATGGAAAAAATTGCCTTGAACATTACCTTTAAACCTTGCCCCTCGTATTATGACCTACGCCCCCTTGTAACTGACTCTTCCATCCTGGAAAAAAGCTTCTGACTATCCACTCTGTCCATGCCCTTCATAATCTTGTAGACCTCTATCAGGTCGCCTCTCAATCTCCGTCGTTACAGTGAGAACAACCCAAGTTTGTCCAACCTCTCCTCATAGCTAATGCCCTCCATCTTTTCTGTACCCTGTCCAAAGCCACCAGATCCTTCTGGAAGTGTGGTGACCAGAATTGAACACAATATTCCAAATGAGGCCGAACTAAGGTTCTATAAAGCTGCAACATTACCTGCTAATTTTTAAACTCGATGCCCCAGCCGATGAAGGCAAGCATGCTGTATGCCTTGTTGACGACCATCTCCACCTGCGTTGCCACTTTCAGTGACCTGTGTACCTGTACACCCAGATCCCTCTGCCTATCAGCACTCTTAAGGGTTCTCCCATTTACTATTTTGCATCTGGATTCAACCTTCCAAAATGCATTACCTCACATTTTTCCGGATTAAGCTCCATCTGCCATCTCTCTGCCCAAGTCACCAACCGATCTATATCCTGCTGTATCTTTTGACGGTCCTCATCATTATCTGCAATTCTACCAACCTCCCTCCTGCCTTGTGTCATCGGAAAACTTACTAATCAGACCAGTTACATTTTCCTCCAAATCATTTATACATATAACAATGGCAAAAGTCCCAACACTGATTCCCAAGGAACACCACTAGTCACAGTCCTCCATTCAGAAACGCACCATTACACTGCTACCCTCTGTCTTCTATGACTGAGCCAGTTTTTTTATCCATCTTGCAATCTCACCGCTGACCCCGTGCAACTTTACCTTCTGTATCAGTCTGCCATGAGGGACCTTGTCAATGGCCTTACTGAGTTCATGTAGACAACATCCACTGCCCCACCCTCATGGATCATCTTCATCAGTTCCTCAAAAAACTCAACCAAGTTAGTGAGACACAACCTTCCCTTCACAAAATCATGTTGCCTTTCACTAATATGCTCATTTATTTCCAAGTAGGGGTAAATCCTGTCTTGAAGAATCCTCTCCAATAATTTCCCTACCGCTGATGTAAGGCTCACCGACCTGTAATTAGCTAGATTATCCTTGCCACCCTTCTTCAACAAAGGAACAACATTGACTATTCTCCAATCCTCTGGGACCTCACCTGTAGCCAGTGAGGATACAAAGATTTCTCTCAAGGCCCCAGCAATTTCCTCCCTTGCCTCTCTCAGTATTCTGGAGTATATTCAGGCCCTGGGAAACCTGTCTACCTTTATGTTTTTCAAGACTCCCAATACCGCCTCCCTTTTGATATCAACATGACCCAAACTATCTACACACCCTTCCCCAGACTCATCATCCACCAAGTCCTTCTCTATGGTGAATACTGATGCAAAGTACTCATTTAATACATCGCCCATTTCCTCTGGCTCCACACATAAGTTCCCTTCCCTGTTCCTTGAGTCGACCAACCCTCTCCCTGGCTACCCTCTTGCTCTTGGGATTTTCATTCATCCTGTTACTTTTACATCTTACCTAAATCTGCCTACATATCTGTTCTTCTATCTCCTGCTGGCTGTTGGGAGGTCTATAGTAAACTGCAAGCATTGTGATTGCACCCTTCCTGTTCCTGAGCTCTACCCATATTGCTTGCTGTATGAGCCATCCGAGGTATCCTCCCACAATACAGCTGTGACATTCTTCTTAACAAGTCGTGAAAATCCATCACCCCTTTTACATCCTCCTGTATCCCGCCTGAAACATCTGTATCCTGGAACATTAAGCTGCCAATCCTGTCCCTCCCTTAACCAAGTCTCTGTAATAGCAACAACCATTATAGTTACAAGTACTAATCCAAGCTCTAAGTTCATCTGCCTTACCTGTTACACTTTTTGCATTGAAACAGATGCACTTCAGTCCACTAGACCCACTTTGATTAGCAACCACACCCTGCCTGCTCTCCTTCTGAGTCTTACTGGTCCTATTATCTAATTCCCTTTCAGTCAATTTACCTTTGCTTTGGTTCTCAACCCCCTGCCAAGCTAGTTTAAATCCTCCCAAGTGACACCAGCAAATCTCCCAGCCAGAATATTGGTGCCCAGTTGAGATGCAGCCTGTCCTTCTTGTACAGGTCCCACTTGTCCCAGAAGAGAAACCCTCCCTCCTACACCAATTGTCGAGCCATGTGTTGAGCTGTACTATCCTCATATTTCTCGCCTCACTGGCACGTGGCACAGGCAGTAATCCCAAGATTACAACCTTTAGAGGTCCTGCTCTTTAACTGTCTACTTAACTCCCTGAACTGCTGCTGCAGGGCCTCATCACTCATCCTACCTCTGTCATTGGTACCAATATGTACCATGACCTCTGGCTGTTCACCCTCTCCCTTCAGAATGCTTTCTGCCCATTCAGAGACATCCTGGACCCTGGCACCAGGGAGGGAACATACCATCCAGGAGCCTCTTTTACATCCACAAAAGCGCCTATCTGTACCCCTAACTATAGTGTCCCCTATAACTACTGCTCTTGTGCTCTTTGTGCTTCCTTTCCTCTCTAAGAACAGAGCCAGCCGTGATGCCACCAGTCTGGCTGCTGCTGCTGTTATCCCCTGATGGGTCATTCCCCCCGCAACAGTATTTAAAACCTGTTCTTCCTCCCACCTATCCCCTCCTCCCACCTCAAGCTGCACCTCCATCTCCTACCGACCAACCTCATCCCGCCCCCTTGACCTGTCCGTCCTCCCTGGACTGACCTATCCCCTTCCTAACTCCCTACCTACACTCACCTTTACTGGCTCCATCCCCGCCTCTTCGACCTGTTTGTTTCCTCTCCACCTATCCTCTCCTCTATCCCTCTTCTATCCGCCTCCCACTCTCTCCCTATTTATTTCAAAACCCCCTTCCCCTCCCCCTTTTCTGATGAAGCCTCTCTGCTCCTATGATGCTGCTTGGCCTGCTGTGTTCATCCAGCCCTGCACCTTGTTGTCTCGGATTCTCCAGCATCTGCAGTTCCTACTATCTCTGATTCAATTTTAAAATGGTATACTTGTTAGAGAGAGGGACGGCGACAGGGGATTCCTGCACTGGCTGCCTGTCCCTTCCACCGGTCACCTGCACCTTAGGTGTCACCACATGTCTAAAACTACTGTCTATGATGCTTTCTGCCACCCTCATGCTCCTAAGTGCACCTGATGCCACTCTAGCCTATCCAAGCGGTCTATGAGGAGCTGCAATTGGGTGCACTTCCTGAGATGTAGTCGTCCTGGACGCTGGAAGCATTGCGGAACTCCCACATCTCACAAGTGCAGCACTAAACCCTACTGACTGACATTTCTATCACCAATAAATTTTAAAGAAAATTTATTAAACACTTATTGCTGTGAATACCCGCGGTAGGTCTTCCCTCACTCACCTTCCCAGAATGCTCTCTGGATCTCTCCCTTTCCCTTGCTTCTGGTCCTCACAGTGGCATGTGCATGCTTCTTTTTGGTTAGAGGAGGAGGTAGGGAGGGAAACACCAAGGAAGTGTTTGGGGTTGGAATAATTGATCCCACAAGGAATGGATCAGATTTATCTCTGCAGTCTTGCCAAATCTATTTGTGAATGATAGTGGACAATTAAACAGCTCATAGGAAGAGAAGGCACCATAAATATCCCCATCCTCAAAACACAGCCCAAAACATTAGCACAAAGGACAAGCTACATTTGCATCCATCTCCAAGTGGATGGTCCATCTTGGCCTCCTCTGGAGATCCTCAGCATCACGGTCCTCAACCAATACAATTCATTCTATGTCATAATTGTTATGATCCCAGCTGGTGTTATTACTGGAAGGTCAGATCACATAATGCTGCAGATCTGGTTTTAACAATAAAACAAAAGATTATTATGAAAAAGATGATAAAATACAATAACCCAAGCTTTTACATATAAAACAATTTGGAAAGATTTTGAAACGCAAAGAAAGAATAAATTACTATCTATCCCAAGAGCGCAGTACTTCATCACCAGAAAGAATCTCTTTTTCAATCATCTCTGTATGTTTGACTTCACAATTGCTTCTAATTCACAGTGTTGAGAGTCTGATAGCCTCTTCATTGAGTAGTTGCTCAATTAACCTTAGAGTCTCTCAGCTTCAAATAATCCATTAGGTTTCTAATCAAACACTTCCAGTCTGGAACTTTCAAATACAACCTTTAAACTGAGGGAACCAATTTCTAACTTTTCTGAACTAACTCCTACCTTCATCCACGAGAACTGTTTCATTCATGTAACTTCAACCAGGACTGAAACTGAAGCCAAAAGATTTCCAAGACATGGGTGCTTCCCTAAGCAAAAAAAAAGGCCCTGATAACTAACCGAAAGCAGCCTAATAGCCTTTTTCTGTCTACTCTTAAACCTCTCCCAATGCAGAAAGATTCCCTTTAGCACTCCAGCAACTATTTCATACTGATCTCAAATAAGAAAAAAGCTCCACAACTAATCTCAAAGTTAATTGTTAAACCTCCTCATAAACACAGACCAAAACTCACATACTACTAAATGAACAAATGAACAAATGAAAAAGTACAGCACAGGAACAGGCCCTTCGCCCCTCCAAGTCTGTACTGACCATCATGCCCTAATTAATCTAAAAATAAACCTGCCATTTTTCGATCCATATCCCTCTTTTTCCTCCCTATTCATGTATCCATCTAGGTGTCTCTTAAATGTCTTCAATGCGCCCACTTCCACCACCTCTTCTGGTAGTGCATTCCAAGATGCTACCACTCGCTGCGTGAAAAACTTCCCTCGCACATCTCCCTTAAACTTTCCCCCTCTGACCTTGAACCTGTGCCTCCTTGTAATTGAAAGTTCAACCCTGGGAAAAAGCCTCTGACTATCCATCCTATATACACCTCTCATAATTTTGTAGACCTCTATCTGGTCCCCTCTCAGCCGCCATCTTTCCATGAAAACAATCCTAGTCTTTTTAACCTTTCCTCATAGTCAATACCCTGGAGACCAGGCAACATCCTGGTGAACCTTCTCTGTACTCTCTCCAAAACTTCCACATCCTTCTGGTAGTATGGTGACCAAAACTACACACATTACTCTAAATGCGGCCTAACAAGGGTCTTATATAGCTGCAACGTGTTTGCCAACTCTTGTACTCCACGCCCCGGGTAATGAAGGCAAGCATACCATATGCCTTGGCTACTTGTGTTGCCACTTTCAGGGAACTGTGGACCTGCACGCCCAGATCCATCTGAATGTTAGTGTTCCTAAGGGTTCTGCCGTTTACAATATAATTCACAACTAAATTTGATCCTCCAAAATGCATCACCTTGCATTTGTCTGGATTAAACACCACCTTCCATTTTTGTGCCCAAGTTGCCAATTTATCTATGTTATGTTGTATCCTTTCACAATCGTTGGCATTATCATCAACTCCACCAATCTTTGTGTCATCAGCAAATTTGCTTATCAGATCACCCACATTTTCCTCCGGATCATTTATATATACTATAAACAACAAAGGTCCTAAGACTGACCCCTGTGGAACACCACAAGTTACCAGTCACCATTCTGAAAAACATCCTTCCACCACTACCATCTGTCTTCCATGACCAAGGCAGTTTTCTATCCATCTAGCCAGGCCACCCAAATCCTTTGTGATTTTAGTTTTTGTACCAACCTGCCATGGGGGACTTTATCAAATGCCTTGCTAAAGTCCATATAAACTACATCCACAGCCCTTCCCTCATCAATTATCCTTGTTACCTCTTCAGAAAATTCAATCAGGTTGATGAGACATGACCTTCCCGTAACAAAACCATGCTGCTTGTCACTAACTAGTCCATTTTCCTCCAAATGCGCATATATCTTGTCCCTCAGTATCTTCTCCGAGAGCTTCCCCACCACAGACGTCAAGCTCACTGGCCTATGGTTTCCTGGATTATCCCTGCATCCTTTCTTAAACAAGCGAGCAACGTTCACTAACCTCCAGTTCTCCGGAATTTCACCTGTGATCAACGAGGATGTGAAGATATCTGCCAATGCCCCAGCTATTTCCTCCCTTGCATCTGAATAACAAGGGGTAGATCCCATCTGGTCCTGGGGACATGTCTATCTTAATGCAATATAGGATTCCCAAAACTTCCTCTTTCAACATTCTCTAGAGTATTCACACACTCATCCCTGACCTCAATATTAGTCATGTCCTTCTCCTTGGTGAAAACTGATACAAAGTACTCATTCAGGATCTCCCCTACTTCCTGTGGCTCTAAGTATAACTCCCCTCCTTCGTCCTGGAGTCAGCCTATTCTTTTCTTTCTCCTAATACATACATAAAAAGCCTTGGGATTCTCTTGACCTTGTTTGCTAAAGACATTTCATGGCCCCTTTATACCTTCTTAATTGTGCACTGAAGTTCCTTCCTAATTTGTCTGTACTCCTCCAGGGCTTCATCAGTTTGTAGCTGCCTAGATCTATTGTATGCTTCCCTTTTTCTTTTGACTAACATACAATTTCCCTTGTCATCCATGGTTCCTGAATCCTGCCATTCCTATCCTTTAGTTTTGCAGGGACATGCATGTCCTACACGTTAGCCAATTGGTCTTTAAAAGTCTCCCACATGCCAGAGGCAGATTTGCCCTCAAATAACTGCTTCCAATCCATATTCTCCAGTTCCTGTCTAATTTGGGTGTAACTGGCTCTTGCCCAATTAAGCACCCTCACCCGAGGGCCACTTGTGTCCTTTTCCATAACTACTCAAAATCTTATGGAGTTATGGTCACTAAGCCCAAAATGCTCTCCTACTGAAACATCAATCATCTGTTCTGGCTTATTCACTAGGACCAAGACTAATATGGCCTCCTCTCCGGTTGGATCATCAACATACTGCCGCAAAAAGCCCTCCTGGACACAACAAACAAATTGGTTTCCATTCAAACCCCTGGTTATAAGGGATTCCCAGTCAATAAGAGGAAAGTTGAAGTCACCCACCACAACTACCCTACTCTTTTCACACTTTTCCAGTATCTGACAACAAATCTGCACCTCTGTCTTCCCGTGGGCTGTTGGGAGGCCTATTGAAAACTCCCAATATTGTGATTTCACCCTTCCTATTCCTGACCTCCATCCATAATACCTCAATGCAAGATCCCTCCAATGTGTCCTCCCTCAACAATGTGATGTGATCGCTAATTAGCAGTGCAACTCCCCCACCCCTTCTGTTTCCCTTTCTGTCCCTTCTAAAACAGCAATATCCAGGAATGTTAGGCTGCCAGTCCTGTCGCTCCTTTAACCATGTCTCTATAATGGCAATAATATTCCATGCAGTAATCCATGCTCTTAGTTCATCTGACTTACCTGCTATACTTCTTGCATTGAAGTAAATGCATTCCAGTTCTGCAGTCCCTCTGAGCCCCGCGACTTCGCTCTGCCTGATCTTACTCTGTGTTATGCATATCTCTGTCACACTTTTTGTCCCCAGTCTCTGCACTGACTGGCCTAATATTCCGGCTTCCATCCCCCTGCCACACTATTTTAAACCCCCATGAAGAGCTCTGGCAAACCTCCCGCCCAGGATATGGTGCCCCTCCAGTTCTGGTGTAACCCGTCCTTCCCCAGAAGACATCCCAATGATCCATATATCTACAGCCCTCCCTCCTACACCAGCTCTGTAACCACATGTTCAAGTGCACTCTTTCTGTTCCTAGCCTCACTAGCCCATCGCACAGGTAGTAATCTTAAGATGTCATTTGTCATTTGTGCCAATGTGGACAATGACTTCTGGCTCATTTCCCTCCTGCTTCAGGATGTCCTGTACGCACTCAGAGACATCAAGGACCCTGGCACCAGGGAGGCAACACACCATCCTAGAGTCTCGTTCATGGCCACAGAAATGCCTATCTGTACACCTGACTATCGAGTCACCTACTACTATCACTCACCTAGACTTTGCCACATCCTACTCTACAGCAGAACCAGTTGTGGTGCCACAGGTCTGGCTACTGCTAGTACTACCTCCTGAGAGGCTATCCCCCCGCAACAGTATCCAAAACGGTATACCTGTTTGAAAGGAGAATAGCCACAGGAGACTCCTGAACTACCTGCTTGCTTCTCCTGGTGGTCACCCACCTATCTGCCTGGACCTGTGGTGTGATCACCTCCCTAAAGATAGAATCTATCACTATCCCTGCCCCCTGTATGCACCGCAGTGTGTCCAGCTGTTTCTCTAACCGAACCACGCGGTCTGTGAGGAGCTGCACCCAGTCACACTTCCTGCAGATATAGTTGTCAAGGACACGAGACTGCTCCCTGATTTCCCACATCTGACAGGAGGAGCATACCACCACCCTAACTGCCATCTCCGCACTTTTACACTTAAAAAAATAAGAATCTTACCTTGCCTCAACTAATAGTTCAACATTGTTATGGGCCAGACCAGACCCCCTCAAAATATTTAAAGAAGGTAGACTAGACCCTAACTTTTTCTTATTTTAGAAGCAAATGTAAAGTGTCGTGTTCCAGATGCAATGCGACTGGTCAGACTACTCGACGTTAATCAAAACACAATTTATTTAAACACTATTGTTAAAATACAACA